GAGAGAGAGACGAGAGAGAGAGAGAGAAAAAGAGAGAGAGAGAGAGAGAGAGAGAGAGAGAGAGAGAGACTTTCATTCTTTTTTTTTTTTTCGATTGTATCTTCTTTATGTATCTTTTTTGTTTTTGTAACATTTAGAATTTGATTTTCTTGCAAAGTATTTCTGGGGATTGTGCAACCAATACAACAGATTGAAAAAAAGTAACTGCAATTTTTTTTCCTTCCAAATTTTGGGCTCAGTACATTGAAAGGGCCGGACGACGTATTGCCGCTGCGTGCCGACCTACGACCGTGAGACTGCAGTCTTGTCCGTCGCCCGTGGAGAAATGTGTTTTGTGATGTGGAAGCAAACTGCTGAATAAGAAAGCCAAATATTTGGGTTAGGTGTCGTTCATGACAAAGTTTCACCGCAACAGGTTCTTGGGTCTGATTTTCAACAGACAGTGACGACCTCTCAGGTCTTTTTTGTTTTCTTTAAACCCCTTTCGTTTGACTGTTGGAGCGTGTGGATGGTTGGTGGGTCCTCTGGTGTGGTTTGCTCCTTCTTACATGTCAAAGGTCTTTTGTCCTCTTATCTCCGCCTTCTTTTCTTTGCTTGTTACTCTCTAGTAAAACCTTTGCTCTTGGGCGCTTGCATGACCTATATGTGTTAAAAGTGCCGCAAACTCTTACAAAAGCGAAAAGAAATTAGAAAAGTTGAAACAAAGTGCTGAATGAGAAAGCCAAATATTTGGGTTGGGTGTCGGACTTCACAAAGTCTTACCACAACAGGTTTTTGCTCTATTCGCGCGCGCGTGTGTGTGTTTATATGTGTGTTTGTTAGTGTGTACGGTTTCTGTTTGCGTGTACGTATGTGTAAGTGTTTTTATGTGTGTTTGTGTGTGGTGTGTTTGTGTGTGGTGTGTGTGTGTGTGTGTGTGTGTGTGTGTGTGTGTGTGTGTGTGTGTGTGTGTGTGTGTGTGTGCTTGTGCTTGTGCTTGTGCGTGTGCATACGCGGACGCCCGCGTGCGTGTAGACACTCAGGTCGTGAAGAAGCCGTGGCGGGGTTAAGATGGAACCGACACTTCTGGGGAAGCCAGTACCGTGATGCACACCACCAATCGGGTTCCATCGGCACTGATTCGAGAACAGCCAGATTTTCCCTCTAGATTTAGGCTACAGGGTGGTTGGTTGGCGGGTGCTCTGGTGCTCCTTCTTTCCTATCAAACTTCTATCGTCCTTATCTCCCCTTCTTCGTTTTTATGTTTGTTACTCTCTTGTAACACCTCTATTCTTCTGGCGCTCTTATGACCTTATGCAGTTGCGAGTGCTGTAAAACCTCTACTAAAACTAAACTTAAGCTACAGAGGGGGGAAAAGCTACCGTTTTGCCACCCTACGAACGAGTCGACTCATCGCGACCTTGAGACACACACGTGTTTGATTTTAAGGCCACAGTCGAATTTAGTTGAATTCGGTCGAACTGTTTCAAAATGGCAGCATTTACCCTCCGACGAAGGAAAAATCTGGCTGGGAAATGTGTCTATCGCGGTGTAAAACACAAAATCAATCCGGCTGGCTTCGACTCAGTCAAATAAATTTTGTTTAACAGGACGCACTGGGTGTAACATAGACTGGGTTGAAATCATCGTCAAGCTGTTCAAATGTACTAAACACAGAAAGCAAAAGTTTACGTGAGAGAGAAATAAAATGTTTAATAATGTCATTAGTATCTCAAGTAATGCGTGTGAATAGATGGCAACAGCACACTCATACACACCTACAGTATTCATTTTTTTACTTGCCTTTTTTTCTTCAACATTTAATTAACATTAGAATTTCGAAAGGAAAAAAAACAACAATTCTTGAGCACGTGCAATAGACATCCGCAGATTAAGAAGCCGAAACCATAGGACACCATTTTAAAATCAAAATTTAGGGCTCGCTCCATTTGAACAACTGGGGGAGGAAATGCTTCTATGAAGCCGTTCGCTTTCACAATCTCAGTGTCAACAGTCAGGGCACAGGCTGACACATCTTGTCGCTAGCCTCAACTAGCAAACTTGTGCGTGTTTTGGTCCGATTTTCAACAGAGAGTGAGGAGTGAGATCGTTCAGGTCTTTCTTATTTCTGAACCCCCCCTTTCGTTCAACCGTTACAGCTTGTGGGTGGTTGGTTGGTGGGTGCTCATGTGTGGTTTTTCCGTTCTTTCGTCCCAAACAACTCAGATCGTTCTAATAATATTCTCTCGTCATACTTTTCTTTGCTTGTTGTTTCTTGCTTGTAATACCTCTAGTCTTCGGCACTTATATATGGCCTCTTTGGGTGAAGCTCCGTAGAATTCTTACTGGATCTTAAAATGAAGATATAACGTATTACCAGAGTTTTGAAGCAAACAGGGGGAAACAAAATGAAGTTGAAGAGTATTTTCTTCGTTTATGAACTGGTTTCTCTGATACATAGTTTGTATGAATTCTGGCATGGCTAGGGAGGGATTTTCTTGTGTGTGTTTGTGTGTGTGCGTGTGTGTGTGCTTCCTATGGACTCTGCAAGATTTTCAATTTCTGTTGACGAAACTGGTAAAATCATATATAAATATGAAACCATTCCTTACTCCCACAACTAAAAGAAGACTTTCACCTAGCACAGAACTCTGGAAACATGAACCTTTCCAACAAACAAAACAAAACACCAATAAAAACAAAGGGGGAAAAAAGAAGCCACAGGCTGTGAACGGCTCCTGAAGGGCGTTGTCCGTATAGAGGCCGACAAGATGCTGTTGGATCTTTCTACATCGTGGTAGATAAGCCGAGGAAAGAGCTACTAACCCTTTCTCTCTTTTCTCTTTATCCCCCCCCCCCCCCCCGTGCCGAATTATCCGATGATATTCCGGCTTCCAAATGAACCCCTGCTTTTAACCCTCGCACTGAGTTCTGGGAAATTGAGACGCGGCTTTTTTTCAAAACGAATTATATGTTCCCTTCCCGTCTCTCTCTGCACACACCCCCTCCCACCCCCCCCCCCTCTAAAAAATCCCTTTCCTCTCCACTATAAAGTCTTGTGCTGTGAAAACGTCTTAAAGTACATAGTTACATCTTTCTTTTCTTCTTCTCGATCGCATCACACTTGAAGTCCGGTATCTGTCATAAACTGGGCCGTCCTGCTCAGTTCATCTGGCGGCCCGTATAGCTTCTCTTGTAGCGTCAGTGGGGTTGGCCACGTTTCCTGTCTCAGGGCCCTGTGTGTCTTGCAGTGCTGAAGGATGTGTTCAACAGTTTGGTCCGCCTCTCCACACTGGCATTTTTGGTGATTGTACTAGTTTAAAACATTTGTACATATGTTGTCTCAGTCTTGTGTGTTGTGTCCTTAGTCTGATGATAATCACTTGTTCTTGGCGGGACAGCTCATGGTAGTTATCTGGTGTCTGAGGTGCTTTAAATAGTGTATTTATAATAGTTTTTATTTCTGTGTAGTTAACGCTGTTGTCTGGTTGCTCTTTTTGTGCTCCTAGTTTGGCCATCCTGTCTGCCTGCTTATTTCCCAAGACACCACAGTGTGATGGAATCCACTGCAGCATGATCCTCAGACATGGGATGTCCTCTATTTCTTTTCGTAGCCTTGGTAGTTTGCCGGAAGTGATTGCCTGCAGTACTGACATGGCATCTGTTAGGAATACTACTTGGCTTTGGGGGTCTACCACATTCTTGATGATGTTTGCTGCATGTACTAGAGCCTCCGTCTCTGCCCTGTAGTTTGTACAATGTCGCCCTGTTGGGACTGCCTCTGCTTGTCGTCGTCCATTTGGGAACTGTACGTACACTCCGGCTCCTCCTCTTTTCACAGCATCAGTGGCAGATCCGTCTGTATAGATCCTTATCCATGCTTCTCGTGGGTATCTTTCTTCAAGCATGGACAGGGTGAGGGACTTCTTGCTCAGGTCACTGTGGTCATCTCTTGTGGTGAACATAGGAATTGACGTGTGTATAGATATGTTTGTGTTTTTCTTTTCCCATGATGGTGCCTCTGGGGTGTGATTCAGCATGTTAACTGTGGCTGGTAGATGGTCCTGTAGGGATCTTTGGATTTTTCTGCTTTCTTTGATGAAGTTGGATCTTTTGAGTCTTGCGGTGTTTGATCTCGCTGTTCTCGTGTGCAGTATATGATCCTCCATAGCTGTGGCCTTGGTGTACTGTATGAGGGCCTTGCATTCCCATCTCCTCTGCAGGGCCACTATAGATGTTGTTTGTTCCATCTTTTCTATAGGCGTTGACCTCATTGCTCCAGTGATTATTCGGAGAGCCTGGTTTTGCACTTTTTCCAGAGTGTATTTGTGAGTTTGTGCTGCAGTCATCCATGCACTGGATCCGTACTCGAGATGGGGCCTGATTGCGCCCAGATAGACCTGTCTAAGTGTTTTCCCATTTACTCCCCATTGAGTCCCTGCTAGTTTTCTCATGATGTTAAGTTTCTTCCTGGCTTTATTTTCTGCATTCTGAATGTGTTGTTTCCATGTGAGACGCTTGTCAAAGATTATTCCAAGATACTTCTGTTGATTCTCAAACTTTAGGTTTTTTTTGTCTAATGTGAGGTGTTTTGGCTCAGCCTGGCTGAGAGCGAAGAGTGTAGCAGAAGACTTTTCTTTGTTTATGGTTACACACCAGGTTTTTGTCCATGTAGTGAGTTTGTCCAATGCTAGTTGCATGCGATATGTGGCTGTAGTGACGAATTCCTCAGAGCACCAAAGAACCAGGTCGTCTGCATACAATGCGGCATGTATTCCTTTGGGCAGTTCATTCATCAGGTCATTGATGAAGAGGATAAAGAGCAAAGGTGACATGACTCCACCTTGGGGTACTCCTTGTCGCTATAGTTACATGATTTTAAAAATATTTGTTACGTTCGTTGGAAAGTGTGGTGTCCGTATTCTGAAAGTGGAGAGGGTGACAGAAACAATTTGACCTTTTTCTATTGTTTGGCCTATTTCCAGATATTATGAATCGTCACGCACTCGCCTCGCCAGGCTGGCAGGGCTGATACCATGTCTCCACCACTGATCTCGGCCTCCACCACCACAACCACCGCAACCACCAACAACGACCGGCAGTTCCTGTCCCCCGAGAGTCCTCATGTCCTCCCTTCAGACTTCCCCAGTCCCCGCGTCTGTGTCCTCGCAGGCCCCAGGTCTGACCCTGGACTGACCCCCGTGACCCCGCCCTGTCCGTCTGCTGGCTTGACCCCTGCCGGACACTGAAGATGGCCAGATACCAGTATGATCTCAAACCCTCTAAAGTAAGTTGCCTACCACACATTCTTTATGCTTTATGTAATCTGCACATATCTGGCACCAAATAGGGACATGGGACTAAAACTAAACACAAAAACAAACACCCCCTCCCCAATAATATATGAAACGCATTTTAGCCCGTTTAGAAAAATAAAATGTTTATGTATTCAATGGCAAGCCGTTCAATTTTTCTAAACCAGGGAGGAATATTTTTCAAGCGAAAGAGGAAAAACTGTTTTATTCTTTTATAGATTGTGCCTATGTAATGTATATTTTGTAGCTTTTCTTCAATCAAACATTTAGAATTTTAATTTCGACAAAAATATTCCCCGAGGACACGCCGCAGATACCACAGTCGTAGAAGTAATATTTTCCATTCAAATCCTGACATTCCGAATAGCTTTTCAGCTGTCTTATTTCTGCTGCTATGGTATTATCCATCTTCAAAATTTATAGAGGGCTTCTGACGTCGGTGCTTGAAAACACAGCCTCAATAAATTAAGGCATTTCACATTCCCACTGGACGTCTGTGTGTAGTGTAGTGACTTCCCGCCTCTTGTCTGTATATGATATAGTGTAGCGACAGCTTGAAATCACAAAACAACGTCTTACCTTTTTTTAGTCTTTGGACGTCGTATGAAAGCGAGACTAGAAATGTCAATACGTTTTTACGCCGGAGCTAAGGAGGATAAGAAAAAAGATTATTTTCTGTATGTATCGAATTAAAGTGGTCGTGTTTTTGTTCCCCCATACCTGACTTGTGCATTGACAAGTTGGGTATAGAAGAGCGTGGCATTTAGCCGAGTTCATTGATTTTTCTTTTACTCCCATTGTGTTTGAACTTAACAAGGTACATAACTCACATTTTCAAGGGTTTTAACATTTCAGCTGAAAGCCATTTCGTTGGAGATGGCCATTTTTATGACAGGCACATTTTTCTAGTCGATTTGTTGTGGCCGCTTGTCGCCTGTGATGGAACATGTTTGGCCTTGGGATGGCACAATACTGTCGTAACAATTCTCGATTTTGCGCATACTGAAACTCCACAGGTTTGAGAATTGTCTAAAACAGCGCATGTCAACCTATTTTCTAGCCAACGCCCACTTTTGTCACTTTCAAGTAGCTAGAATTTCCGTTGGCGTACTCTTCTTGTACACGCATTTCAAAGCGGGGCATTGTATGCTCTCGATGCTATACTTGTAGTGATGGTCTCTTTCTCAAACTCCTTTATTTTCACCATCTTTCCCTTTTTCTGAGTGGATGGTTGGCAGATGCTCTGATGTGGTTGGTTTGCTCCTTCATCCCTATCAAGCATCTATCGACCGTATCTCTCCTCCTTTTGTGTGTATATGTATGTTACTCTCTTGTAAAAACGATGAGCTCGTGGCTGGAGAGCGCCACTGTCTGATCCTACTTCTTTATGCTCCCCTTTGTGGTTTTTTGCTGTCTGTCTTTCTTACTTTTTCCAAGCGTGGGCGGTTGGCGGGTGCTCTGGTGTGGTTTGCCTCTTCTTTCCTATCCAACATCTATCGTCCTAATTTCCCCTCCTTTTTTAAATGTTTGTTACTCTCTTGTAACAACTCTAATCTTCTGGCGCTCATATGGCCTTATGCAGTTGCGAGCGCCGTAAAACCTCTACTAAAACTAAAACTAAACTTTTTCCAAGCACCAAATGACCGTCATTGTGTCGATATCCTTCTCTTTACTCAACAATATTCAGCAACATAAAGTCTCTATTCTTCGGCTTTTGTATGACCCATTTGTGCTGCAAGTGTCGAGATTTGCTCAATCATCATCATCATTGCCTTTCTCACCATGGATCGGGATATCGGCCACGAACAAATGCTTTTCACCTTTTCCTATCCTGGGCTAGCCTCTTGACGTTATTCCATGTCTTCCCATCTTTTTCTGTACACCAATTTCCGTGACTTCTTTCCAGGTTTCACTTGGTCTTCCCCTTGCTCTTTTACCCTATAGGTTCCAATCCAACACTTTCCTTGTCATGCAGCTGCCTGGCTTCCTGAGAGCATGTCCAGTCCGTTGCCAACGCCTTCTTTCCACCTTATCTGGCTGGGCTCTGTCTTGTTCTTAATACTTCCTCGTTGGTGACCCTGTCTATTCATCTGACCCTCAGAAACTTCCTCAGACACCTGTGCTAGAAAACCTGGCTCCTCTATATGTATATGCAAGTCTGAGGTGCGTTCCATGTCTCACATCCATACAACAAGACTGACTTGACCTATGAGTTGAAAATCCTCAGCTTTGTTCGAAGTGAGATATCCATGGTCCTCCATATCAAATTCAAAGATATGAAATCAGCCTGTGCCATTTCGATGCGGGACTTAATCTTAGCACCTGTTCCTCCCTCTCTGTCAGATATACTCCCAAGATAGCAAAAGGATTCGACGTGGTTTTCTTCTTCTTTCCTATAAAATACATTGTATGTGTCCTTTTTATCTCTCTCCCTTCTTTTCGTGTGTGTTTATTACTCTTCTGTAACACCTCTAATCTATGGCTTTTATGTGACCTAATTGCTTTGCAAGTTCCATAAAACCCTTTCTAAAACTTTTGTAAAAAAGTGCCCTAAAATCCTTACTAAAACTTTAAAAAATTAATTAAGTGCCCTAAAACCTTTGCTAAAACTAAACAAAAAACAAGTGCCATAAAACTCCTTGCTAAAACGAAAACTCGTGTATTCTCCTCACCATGCTCTATTTGTCTGTCCCAAGATCTCCCTCATCCGCCGACTCAGCATGGAGTCGTTCATGGTGCGCGTGTACACGGGCCCGCTCAGCGACGAGGTCGACCACGTGTCCGTGGAGGCGGAGAAAGGGACGAGCGCCGAGGACATCGTAGCCGTAGCTTGTCGGAAGCTGCGCCTATCAGCCTCTGGAGGCGGCGGCCATGGCGGCGGCGGTGCCTCCTCCGATGTGCGGCAACACTTCGAGCTAGCCGAGGTCTTCTCTTCGGGCGGCCAGCTCTGTAAGGAAAGACGCCTCGACTCCACGGAGAACCCCGTCGCTCTACAGCTGCTCTGGCCCAAAGTGGTGCCGCCGTGCGCCTCCGAAAGTGAGGCCAACGGCTCTCAGGGACTCTTCGATGGATACCGCTTCTACCTGCGACGCCGGGACCCCGAGGCGTCTGCGGGCGGGTGGGTGGTGCGCGACCAGAGCGCTGTGGACTCGTTCCTCCTGGCCTTCCTGACTCAGCCCGTGGCGGGGAAAGAGTTCCCGGACCTCTGCAGCCTGCCCGACCTCAACGAGCACACGCTCCTGCACAACCTGAAGGCACGCTTCAACCAGAAGAACATCTACACCTACGTGGGCTCCATCCTCATCGCCGTGAACCCTTTCAAATTCTTCCCCATCTACAACCCGAAGTACGTGAGCATGTACCAGAACAAACGGCTGGGCGAGCTCCCGCCTCATATCTTCGCGGTGGCGGACGCCGCCTACCATTCCATGCTGAGACTGAGACAGAATCAGTGCATCGTCATCTCGGGCGAGTCCGGCTCGGGCAAGACGGAGAGCACGAACCTGTTGCTGCATCATTTGACTGCGCTTTCTCACAAAGGATTACACGGCAGTGGAGTAGAACAGACTATACTGGGAGCCGGTCCCGTGCTAGAGGTAGGAGGTGGAAGGGGAACACGGCTTTCTGAATGTCTTTTTGGGTTGTGTGTCCTTGGTGTGTGTCTGTAGTATGTCTTGTATGTCCTTTGTGTGTCCTGTGTGTCCTCAAAGTGTCTTAGTGGGTGGTTGACATGTGTGATTTGCTCCTTCTATCCTATCATTCATCGTGATTTGTGTGTCTCTGTAGAGTGTCTTAGTGTTCTGGTGTGGTTTGCTCCTTTTATCTTATCAAACGTCGTGTGTGTGTGTGTGTGTGTGTGTGTGTGTGTGTGTGTGTGTGTGTGTGTGAAGTGTGTTAGTGGGTGGTTGGTGGGTGCTGTGGTGCGGTTTGCTCCTTCTTTCCCTATTAAAACATATGTCGTCCTTATCGCTCATCCTTTTTCTAGTAAGTCATTCTCTAGTAATACCTCTTCGCTTAGGCACATATAAGACGTATTTGTGTTGCAAGTGCTGCAAAACTCCTGCTTCTCTCTCTCTCTCTCTCTCTCTCTCTCTCTCTCTCTCTCTCTCTCTCTCTCTCTCTCTCTCTCTCTCTTTGTGTAAAGTGGTTTTTTTGGGACGGAAGGGGGGAGGGGCGGATGCTCTGTGTGGTCTACTCCTTCTTTCTTGTCAAACGTCTGTCGTCTTTATCTCTCCTCCTCCTTTTTTATGTTTGTTACTCTCTTGTAACTTTTCTAATCTTCGGCACTTAAAATTATTATGACCCCTTATTGTGTTGCATGCAAGTGCCGTATAACTCTTTGACTAAAACTGATGCTCTCCTCCTCTAGGCTTTTGGCAATGCTAAAACCGTTCACAACAACAACTCCAGTAGGTTCGGGAAGTTCATCCAGGTCAACTACAAGCAGAATGGGATGGTGCACGGGTAAGTGTTCACTCTGTTTGTGTGCTGTGTTTTTGACTCGTGATGGTCACCATTTCGCTATCCCAGAATTACAAAGTTCTATCTGAAATTTTTTTTGGGGGCCGTTTTGAGGTACTAAGACCATGGGGTCAGAAATGAAATGCTCTATAATATGTTCTCTATCAAAATCGTAAGATTATTCCGAGTCGTTATCAAGATATTCAAAGAATTGTATTCGAAAAAAAGTGACATAGAATCTGTTGTGAAACTAATTTTTTTACTCAAATTTCTTAAAATAGGCACTGAGCAGACAGAACTTTGTAATCCTGAGGTAGCCATTTGTTCCGATAATTTTTCAATTCCTGTCCTTTTTCTGTGTGTGTGTGTTTGTTTTTTTCGGGGGGAGAGGGGGGTATTTTGTTTTTCTGTGACACATTTTTGTGGGTTGTTAGAGGGTGCAACTGGTTGGTTCTACTTCTTTAACTTCTACTTTACCCCTGTTTTTTCTGTCGGTGTGGGTAGTTGGAGGATGCGACTTCAGTATATCCCTTCTGTTGTTTCTGTCTGTCAGGGTGGTTGGAGGGTGCGACTTCAGTACATCCCTTCTGTTGTTTCTGTGTGTTTGTCATACTCCACCCCCCCCCCAACCCTAGATGGAAGTTACTGTGTCATCGGTGCGTTTTTTGTCGTCGTTGACGCAAGTTTGGTCCTCGGTTGTGTGTCCCCGTCAACCGTTTAGCATATTAATGTTCAGTCATGCATTTATTTGGTGGGGAATTCCGAACTCGGAGCCTGCCAAATTTTTTTTCTTTTTTTGTTGTTGTTTTGTTTGTTTTTTTTCTGTAAAAATTGTAAAAGTTTTTTTGGGTGTTTTTTTTGGGTTTTGTTTATGAGGGCGGTTCCCGGTGTGTTTATGTAGTGGTGTGTGAAAACTTTCTATTACATGTCGACGTGACCGGCGGAACGGGCGTCTCCTATCGAAGAGCTGATCTAAGAAGTTGCGGAAATTGTTCTTTTCTTTCCTTTCCTAATCGGGGAGAGGGGAGGG